TCTTTTGAGGGAAGGATGTTACGATATTATGTAAATATTTCTGTAGGTATTATGTAAATTTCTGTAGCTGCAATTGTCAGCGGACTTTCTGGCGTACATATAAATTATGTATTTTGAATTGTTAGTTGAGTCTTCTACCGTTAGTTGTGTGAATAAAGCTTCGAAACATTGGACATCCAATAATCTGTCCAAGTATATATTCGACTGGAATTTCCACAATTAATCCACTTCTGAATAAATTCTATAATTTGATAATTCTGTCGCATTTGGCAAAGCAAAAAAAAGCAAAAAAAACAAAAAATAAAACAACAACAACAACAACAGCAAAAAAAAAAAACAAAAACAAATCAAGATCAGATGCCGCGACAAAGCCGCAAAGTGGTAAAACGGAACAAGCATTCGTCAAAGTGAAGTGAACTTTAATAAATATTTGGTGAGTTCACCGAGAGGAGGTGATGTAACCATTCACTCTTTGCTCCCGACTGGGTTATAGGGCGAAAAACAGAAACCGGCGCGCGAGCGAAGCTGGCCAAAAGTGGTCTAGGGCGAGCGGAGCGTTTCGCACTCGCCGGGAGCGCGGCACGAGCTAAGAATTGTCTTATTTGAATTTGCAGAGGTGAATATTAAAATCTTTAACATGACACAAGAAAGATGGAAACACTTACACAATTGTTGTTTATTGCAATTTGTATACACATATGCGGCCACAGTTTTAAGGTTACGATATACCTCTAGATGTGTCCAGCGACCAAGCGATGTACCGCGCCTGCTTTGAACTTTAGACACCTAAATCCTATATTCAGTTAAAGATTAGAAAGCTGGCTATCAGACTAAACAAACAATTTCAAAATAAAATGAATTTTTGAATTTTCCAAGACTCTACATGCGAGTGTCCGAATCACTTTTTGAAAGCTACAAGTCAAAGGGAAAGTCCTCGTTCGCCTTAAATTTGGACAGCAAATACACGTACTTTAACATATAAAAAACGTAAAAGTGTTTGCGATTTTTTTTGTTTCGAAATACTTGTTCTTCGAGAGAAATTTTTGTACAATCACGCCACCTTTGTTTAATCGAGCAGTATTTCGAAAATGTTCTGTAAACTCCAAGTTTTAATTCGCGGCATTTGGCTTCAGAGTTTCACGGCAACTTATTTTAAGCCTTAATATGTGTTCCAAGATCCGCCTCGTCTCTACCTTTCGGATCAAAATTCTCTGAGCTTACGAACTTTCTTTGCGAACTTCGCGAACTAACACACTAAACTGACAGAAAAAAAAAATACTTATTCAAAAAATGTCTCGTGGAGGCCAAACTTGTTACATGGAGCGTTTTCACATGACGTTACGGCAGCCTTATTGGTGTTCCAAAACAATGAAACGGCGGCCATGTCGGTGCACCAAACCAATACTGTGGGAATTAAACTCTTTTCTTATGTAAACACTTCCTTCTGTTTCAATAAATTTGCATGGCTCCTTGCCACGTGAGTGAAAACGCTCTATTAGTCGCATTCTATTCGAGTGATGTTCACTTGAATTTGTTCAATTGTTCATTACATTTTCGTTCGGCACGCACACAAAAGACACTTCAGCAGAAACTGAGGCACAAATGCAATTAGTGAAAGACAAAATTTTTGACTTCATCTTTGCATCTATCCAGCTCAAAACGAAATCTACCCGCCAATTATATGCACTTTTCATCAACAATAAGCGACATGTTGACATAATCAAGTAGCACGTCGCATGATGACCAGGAGAAAGTTTGACCGTTCGTATGTAACAGTCTCTGCCCGAGGATAAATAACAAAAATACCTTAAGACCTGAACATGCTTGTACATGTCATTCTCTCTCACAGCACCAAACTTGTTATATTCGGCATAAGCAGTATTCCTTTCAAAGTCTTCCAAGTCCACACGCAGCATGCTGTTATCATCTGAGGTCAGGCGGTAAATTTTGTCCAGTCCGAGCCAATATTCACCATTCAGATCACCGAAACCAACTTTATTATCACATCATTTAAACGTAGAAATCCACTGAACCGGTCAGTCTCTTCTGGAACACTGTCCACCCTCTCCGGCTGTTGCCTCAATTTGCCGGGTATTTCGCCTCATTTCTACAGCCGTCGTTGGCTTTGCTTCACGGCATTGGTCGGTATTATTTCATCTTTCTCTAGCCCTTGACTCGCTATAATTCACGGCATTTTTCAGTACTGTTTCGTCTCCTTCCCCAGAGCTGGCACGCTTTCTTCCGCGATCTTCTTCGCTACTTCTTTGCCTGTTAATTCTTGCTTTCTTTTGTTATCTTGATGTTTTTTGCTTCAGTGCAACCCTATCTTAAAAAGTTGGATCAACCTCCGCTATCCTTTGTTGACATAGCAAATAGAAATGAGTGTTCCTTTTTTACAAATCCCGCCAAGAAAAGATGGCATTCTTCCACTCCTCAGTGAGACTCCTCTCCCCCTCCCCCAGAGCCTGTACGGACGGCGTTCGGCTGCTCGCTCCCTTCTACGGTGACGTCATAACCAAATTTTCTCGGCTTGATGGGTTATAAAATTTGCTAGGGGAATGGGGCTCCGTCTTTGTGGCCTGTCGGGCCGCCGGAGCTTCGCTGAAAAAGCGCTGGCCTCACGACCAACTTGTTTATCACGATAGTCTTAATCTTACGATTCCTATCTACGTATGAATAATTGTAAATGATGACAGAATGTGTAGGGACGACGGTTTTATTCAATTCTGTCTAGACCGTATTTAGTAACCGAGTATTGTAACTGTATGGAACAACCCGCTGCGGTAAAAAAAAAAAATATATAAAGTATCATTTAAACGACTTATGTAGTTAATTTCATTTCATTTGAGTCTGAATCTGAATTTGAATTGTGAATAAACAGTTATGCTAAGTTATGTTATGTTAACTTTTCTCTCCTGAGAAATTGTGATTCCGTAAAAGC